AGAGCTTAGAAAATAATAATAGTGAGTGGGTATGATTAGTTTATTTATAAATTCTGAGCTACTACACTTGTTTAGCCTTCTAAATTATTGTTTCATCAGTCAGGCCTCTGAACATAGCAACAAGTAAGAAGAAAGATATTTTGGTTGTGTTTTAAGCAAGTGGAGGTAGCTAAAATGTGTTATTTTATTACTATTATTGAGAATAAAAACTATGCCAATTTGTCTCGGAGTGTAACAAAGTTGTAAACTGTATCATATCGTATTAAATGTAATATGACACTTAGGCCATTAAGCAAATAACTGATAAATTCGTCACTTTAGGTCACTTGAGATGAATTAAGGCTTGATATTTGACTTTTCCCACAATGAGATTAATCAGCCTTATGGTGCCATTGAAGTTCGCTTGCCTTTGCCTCTAAAGACTGTCTTATCCTGGCTGGGATTGACTCCACTTTCGATTTAATTTAAACTGAACTATTCAGCCTCCCAACGGGATTCGATACCGGTTAGCGAGTATCGTGCCAACTTTACCACTCCACTGCATAGCCAAGTAATCCAGAAAGCCTAGGACCAATGGGGCACCCAAATCGCATTTATAATAGTATTTTAGATGAAGCAGCTATAACTATGCCATTACTTACAACGCGGAGTTGAATGTCGTTGGAGGTACTCATGCTACCAGTTCATGAGATCATCAAATGATCGTATTGTGGGAAAACTGATAAATTTCTGATAATCCTAAACATCGCTTAATTAGAAAACAAATAAGTAAATATTCCGTTACGTAACACGCAAGAGCACATCCTAACAGACAGCTAAGCTTTTTGGGCCCAACTACTTAAGCTTGGTAAATAAGAAAAGGATGCAAGCTCTGAGCGAATCATTGACTACAATCTTTAAACATGGTGTTACTGCTTTGAATTTGTCAAATTACAGAAAATCTTTTTTACTAGGATTCTGTGAGGATGACAAACTTACTTATGCGCCACTAAATCTGATGTGCATAACCCCAAAAGACCGTCAATTTCTGTCTTTCAATGCCTTCTTTGTTGTTAACTGTTTTCATGGTCTATAGTGTCCTTAATACTTTTCCTTAAACCCAACGATCGCTTCTAAGCTCGACTCTAATCGCACGAACTCAAGGAACCTAGACAAGGCTAAATCTGTAGTCTGATATGGAAGAAGATCCATTCTTTAAGAAAAGACGTGGCAAGGAACGAAGTCATGTCAATGTGAGTGCACGGTAATTCTTATTCTGGCAAATGGTTTAAAGAGATTTTTTTCATTATTGCTCAAAACAAAAGCTAGAAATCCTCTAAACAGCTACGACTGCCAACGGGTCACGGGGCAGAAGTAAATTTCGAGGCAATCCGGGCCTCGCCCAAATATCATTTTGAGGGACATTATCGCAGAGACAAGTATTTATTTGTAATTTATATGATATGTTTATCCCATATTTTGTTTAAGGTGACTAAGGACTGGTAGATTAATTTGTCCACAATCATATGAGTAGAAGATACTTTTACATTGACCTTCACATAGTCTTGCTTACCAGAAAGGTATTCTCATCCCTGGCTGGATGGACTGCACTTTCTGTCTCGCATGAACTTTTAATATCAACATCTCCAGCGGGACTCAAATAATATAAGTGCAGCCCTTAATCTCGGCACATTTACAACGTTTGTCCTTGGGTCATAGGGCAGATGTGCAGATGTACGAGTGTGAGTAAAGTTCGAACCATCACCGAGCCTTCTTTTTGACGGCGGCTCAACACTCGTCCAACATGTTAGATTAATCTCATCAACCAAACCAGAAGTGCCAAATTACGCAGCCCCAGTCATGCCTTTCCTTGAAGGGTTGAACATTGATGACCCTAGACCGTAACTTGACTTACATGCTTACAAGCTCATATCTCATTATCTCAATCATACTTGTTTACGGACTTACGCCGTCTTTCTTTGAGTCTAACTTTAACCTTTTAATAACTATGATTCAGGACCGGTATTGTGTATAGACGCTAACACACACACGCATACACTTGAGAAAAAGTAGCAGGACATGTATGAAAGATAATAAACCAAACCACTATATATCAATCTAGGTTTTTAATTTTTCATTTCTTTTTGGTAAGATCAAACCGAAACGAAAC